AAACATAAGAATTATATAATTCTTTATGCCTATTTTTAAAATATATTTTAATTTTTTAAATGTTTTTTCATCATATTCTATAGGGATTTAAAGTTCAGCATATCAATACTTGATGAAAAATACCTGTTCCATATTATGCCTATGATGTTTGATATTCAGACAGATAGTGAGGTTAAGCTTAACGGCCTAGGTTGTATGGTAACATCCATAAGCTTCTCTTCTGGCGGGTTAACAACCTCAGTTTGCAGACCAAAATTAGAGAAAAGGGAGGGCCATAAGGAAAGCCAACATTTTGGCCCTAGCCTTCCAAGGTCAATTAAGACTCAGGACATATGAAATCTTGTACTATAATGTTATGTAACTCAGTAGTGTCCCAAATTTTCTGATCAAGGAGATTAAGGGGCCAAAGAGGAAAGTGATCGATGATGTAGAGTGTGCTTAAGGAGAATCACATGGAGAGAAAACATTCTCTCAGCCTTTCAAAGAGAGCACATTGGCCAAGCCATGGCCATGACTCATCCACATGGCTGACACTGACAAAGGTTCTACAATCTGAGGTACAAGATCTCAGGAAAAATCCTGAGGAGATTTGACTGACCTTATCAGATCCAAAAGCTACATCTCTTGTTGTATAGGTCGTTCTTTATCTTGGTCTTAACCATCCAATAGAAAAGTTGAAAAACAAAGTATAAGAAGCAAAACCATGGGTTTTATGTTGAGCTATAGGGGACTCAGGTCAACAATTTCTGACATTGCCAGTGAAGCAGAAAATCCAATAGTATTATGGACTATTGGACTCTTTTAGAATATATTGCTGAATTAACACACCTATAATATTCAAATGACAGAACTAAATAAAAAACAGGATACAGATGAATGTTCATTTTTGTATCTGTGTATTCAAAATGGTTAGGATAGGTATATAGTAACATCTCTTAATGAATAGAGTGATTTGTTCTAATAGTGTCTGCAAATAGAATATCATGTCTGCATCTTGCACAGCAAATAACCATTAGGAAGAAAGTATGCAATGTGTTAATTATTGAAACTGTCCTATCAATTTGATTTGAAACTATCTCATTGCTATTTGTTTCTCAATAAAATTATGGGGAAAATAGTGTATCACTAGTCATTCAGCAACTGTAACAAATGTATCACAATAATGCAAATTATTAGTACAGTAAGTCCCCAACTTAGTAACATTTGCATTGCAAATCTTCACAGGGTACTGCCTATGATTTACAGCAATACTTTATCAGATTTACTTTTTCGGATTACACATGAATGTTCTCCTGGAAAGTAACTCCTTTGTAAATGAGGGACTTCCTGTAACAGGCCAAACATGGAAGAAGGACAGAGGAGAGCTGTCTGAAGAGTGGTACCTCAGCACATGAATGCTTTTGTTGGCAAATACTCGGTTAAGCAAACAAAGACATTTGGCAAAATTTAGTTTCAGTTTGCAAACTCCACGGAGGATGACAAATACGATGGTGGCCATCTTTCCTCACAAACACAAAGGGATCATCTTTTACAAAATCATAGACCAAATTCAGTTTGTGAATCAAGGTATCACTGCATTTTTTTACTCAATTTTTCTGTAAATCTAAAACTGCTCTAAAAAGAGAATATCCGTAACCCTTTAACCCTAAGTCAGA